ACATCTACCGATACCCACACGCGAGCATCTTGGCTCACAATGGGGACGTGTAATCGCGACGCTCGATTATTCAATCGCTGGAGCCAGATCATCCGGCTAATAATTGTCCGTTTTTATCTCCGTCGCGTAAATGATCGGACACGCCTTATCTCGTTCGTAGGAGTGACTTATTTACATTCGACCAGTCCTCTTAGATCATCCCCGAGCCTCCATATTCAACCAGGTACGAACACCTACGCTCTTATGTACCTACGTCCGCCGTGATGTATGAAAATCGTTTGATCGATGATAAGAGAGGCCATCTGTCCATCAGATCGTCGTATATATAACCGGAAGCTCGACGCGGTGGAAAATCGTGGAACACACCGGGTGGAATAAGCTCGCCTCTGTGCGAGGCAACTCTTTCTATGGGTTTTCTCAATATACACGCGTACACCGTCGTCGTCGTCGTGAGAGACTGACCGGACGCGGTGCGTTGCGCGTTGCATCCATTTGCCACAGGAACGCGAAACAGCGGCACGATATATGTACCTTTTTTCCTGTGAATCTCGCGCGTGTGCAACGCGGCACGCGCGTCCGTGTACACGATCGGTACCTTCTCGACCTACTTCTCTGAGAAAGGCCCGACCTCGCTTTTCTCTCCCGTGGCGGCAGATACGCGCCACTTTTCCTCGCGTCCTCGCGCGTGTCCTGCGCAACACGGCCGACGCGGTGCTAACTTTTCGTGCACTTCTCGCCGACGCGACACGAGGAGAATGGCAATATTTGCGCTATCCTGTACTGTTAGTCGTTTTTTTAGGATAATTTGAATAATCAATTACAATTTTTACTTATAAACGCACACTGCGTTTCACCGAGTGCCAAGAATAAATAAGAAAGATTGTGGATACTACGCTAAACGTACCAACATTTTGTACAGGGTGATTCACGTAACTCGCATGCTTGAAATAACTTTCATGTTATTACGCGTCTAATGGCGGCGTGTCAATATTTTTGTGTGTGTGTTGAAGGGATCTTGAAATTTTCAAGATTATCTTTACTTCAAGTAAAAAAAAAAAAAAAAAGAAGTATCAACTTACATTGGTCGTAAACCTAATGGCGAAGGAGATATTTTACAATAATTTGTAAATCGAGGATGAAAACTGCGTCGAGCATATTAGGACTGTATGGACACAAACGGTGTGTATGTTGTCCGTGAAGTGCCGATAGTTCTCTCGTTCGGTTTTTTACTTTCGTCGGAGAGAAGTTTCAAATGATGGAATGCGAATATGGGTTAAACACTTATATTTAACAACTACATACAAGGTTGAATGATGACTGTCTGACTGATGCTGTGTACTGTATAATTGCTGTATGAAATGAGCTAATATCGTGACTGCGTGCCTGTGCTTATACAGGTAGTACCAAACTTCCTTCGTACCTCGGGCAAAGATGTTCTTTCCTTTGTTTTGCTCATGCCGATCTTTTCCATATCCCAGTCCCTTCTTCAATGCAGGAGAAAGTACAATTAGAGGGAACGACAGGGAAATTGGGAAGGTCGGCATGGTTATTGCCTTGACCGTCAATAAAATCCCTTGCCAGATGTTGGAGTGAGTTATGGCTGTCGTAACTGTCGTTTACCTGTCCGAATAGCATGTTCTGTCCCAGAACAAGGACCATTTGCTTACGATAATTTATAAACACAAAGCGATCTCGCACAATTTTGTAATCGCGGAATCAATAAATTAACAGCATTCTGAATTGATTGTGCACTGATTACATTATACACTCTGTGCCATAACCGATTATCAAATGACCGATTATGAAATAAAGATCTTCTTGCAAGAAAAACACAGGTAATTGCCAATTTTATTAACAAGAAACGATGCACAAAATACTTACATAATGAAAGGAATGGGGGAAATCATATTTTAATCGTTTTGAACGAGATTTAATTGAACAAAAAAAAAAAAAAAAAAGAAACGAAAAAAAACAATAAATACAATTTCAAACCGGTTATTTGACCAGGCGTTGGTACGTTTAGCGTTAATGGTACGATTAATTACGATCGAACATTTAGCAGAGTTTGGCAAACGTTGGTCGAGTAATGAATAAATACTATTGCGCGCGGCGCTCTTCCTATATTAACAGAAATCGCTAGAAAGTCCCGGGGGACTTGGCTGATGCATATTCCGCCATGTATCGCCTCGCCGCGTGCAAGGTTACATTATCGATCATAATTTACGACGCGCGCGCTACGTTGGTTACGTCAATGCGGCTCCGTTTACGGCCAATATTATCGGGCGGGAGCGAAGACGCGTGTGAACTCGCGCGTGTTGTGCCCACGATCCGCGATCAGCTGATTTCGCGCTTCGTGCTCGTTTCGCAAACTCTCTCTCTCTCTCTCTCTCTCCCTCTCTCATCGCGAGAATTCAAAGGAAAGGTTCCCAGACGTTCAGCCTCTATCGCAACGATAACTGAGAAAAAAAAAAAAACCGCTCGTCCCCGAATTATGTATAATTACCTCGGCTTCGTTCGCGTTCGTTCGATCAAGGACGCCGGTTTTGGCACGAATTTCAAGCGGCATGCCGATTTACTTTCACGCGGACAATGAAATTTCGTTCACGGCCAAACGCCGTAAGTATTTACACACGCCGAGTTTAAACAACGGGCGGAGCGAGGAGCGTCGGCGTGCAACGTCGCCGAGCGTGGGCGATCGAGCTCGAATGGTATCGAAGAGACGGAGGATTCCGGGTTGATCATACCGGCACGCGCGTCCCGTTTTTGCAATTTCGCGCCGTGTCACGTCGGCGTGTGCAACTTATTGCGAGTCGGCGTTGCGTCTCGCGCGTACTACGCGACCGTTTCGAGGAGGAGGGAGAGGTGGACCTTGCCAACGATCGTGCAGCATACGCGCGGCATTTGTACGTACACACGGTCGTTCTAATATCCAAGGTAATTGTACTCGGGCGTGCTAATGATTGCAACACGGGGGCGCAATCGCGGTAAACCAAATCGGAAGGTGCGCGATCGAGTAGGAGGGAGCGAGAGAGGTTGGAGGAGCGCGAGCCAGGCAGAGAGAAGGCGTTGCATTGTAAACTCTATGACCGACTTTACGAGCGATCGGCTAGGATGCAGTGCCTCCGACGGTCGATCGGCGCAACCTAGCCGCCATGTTGTTTCCAAACCCGAAATCAAGCTCGCGTTCTCGCGTTCTTTGCAAAGAGAAAGGTAAAACCCCGACCACCGGCTGGTACCTCGAAATTATGACATAACTTCGGTTTCGCTGTTTCGTGATCGTTCTTTTTTTTTTCTCTCTCCTTTAAAGGGGAAAGAGAATTCGTCGCTACGCAAAGAAAAAGATATTTCCTGGTTGGTAGGTTCGACGTATTGACTCTGTTCAATTTGTGCGACAGCATTTTAATTTCAATTTCGACGATTGCGATCGTCTGCGCGTACTCTAGCGTCCTCCGATTTTTACCGATCGAGTCGATGCTAAACAGACGCTCGTTTCTCCGTGCCAATCTTTTCCGTGAAATCTGTTTCATTCCACGTTCGAGGAAATACGTTAAATACAAGGAATAATGTTGAAATGATTACATAAATTAAGATACCGGATCTAAAAAACGAGGAAGCGTTCCGAACGTAGATTTAAAGTGGGTTTAAATAAATGCCACTGTACTGTCCTAACTTGACCGAAACCTAAATTCCAGCTACCAATTCGTTTAAAATTTTCTACTCTATCGAATCCTGAAGCAAAATATACGCAATAATTCTCGTTTAGAAACAAAATTTCACGGGGCAGAGAGTTATAATATTGCAGTGTGCGTCTGTTTCTAGCTTCCAGTCGGCGTACAGCGACTATAGACAGGCAGAGAGACGCCTCGCCGGCCGGCCGGCCGGCCCATGACTATACGTTACTACTTATGCAGAGTGGCCATCCGTGATCCATCTTGCGTAACCTATTTACCGGCAAAGTGGTACAAGCACGTATGACATAATCCCGTGCAACAGAGCACGCACTGTAGACTTCGGTCTGTTCGGATACTATTTTAAATAGCCCGTGCTACTGCGACGCGCATGCTCGCCGGCACGCCGTTGTGCGCGGCGTTACGCAAAAATAAAAATACACGGGAAAGGGAATCGCAGGCCGTGTGTGAAATGAAAAGATACGCGAAACGATTATTTTATCGTTGGTTACGCGGGTAACCTGCTCATTTGAGAAAAAATTTGTTTTTATTTCTAACCGTAACGTAACAATCCGAACGCCACGCAACAGAAGACACTTTGGTGAACTTCGTATTCTGACGGCTACGTAGAACTTTGCATTGCAAAGTAGTAACAGGAATTAGCTAGAGAGATCTCTGGAATTTTACTACGTCTGACGTATATAATCAACTTTTTCCCCCTTTATCTATCCAATTTAATTGACAGTCGACGAGCTCACATCGGACGATGACGCCACTGTAGGCGCCACGCGTGATTTTACACTCTGTAAATTCCTGAGAGAACGTGTCAGCTTCTGGTTAAGTGAAAGTGGTCTATCCGTATCGGTTATGGAGCGTTAAACCAACGTACGATCCAAAAGAGTCCATTATTCGTTCATCGAGATCGAAATCGAGTTCCATTTCGACGTGGAGAACTCTTGTCCTTCGACTAGACTGTAAACAACCGCGTTTTATCCGGATAAAAAAAACAAATATATATCCACCGCACACTCGATCAAACTCCCTTCACGATCAATTTCCCTCGGTCGAGTTCGTAACCTCGAAACGAACGGACACGCGACGAAAAGAGACGAGAAGGAGAGGTTAGAGAGATCGAGAGAGAGATCGACCACCTGCTGCTGAGCGTGGCCTCTGAGCAACTAGAGCAATGAATTACACCACGATCTCGTCTCGAACTGTCGGCAGCTGTTCGACGAACGTTTCTTCTCTCCCATGGCGGAGAGAATGAAAACGGGATCCTCGCGAGGATTTCCCGCGCGAGAGCCGGGCAACGAACGAACGTACGTACAAAAAAAAAAGGGGGGACATAAAATGCACGGAAGATAAGGCCGCTTATACTTAACCGGAAGCGTCAGTGGCGGCACGAGAGATAGCACGAACGATCGTGTGGTATGAAGGAAACATCCGCGTCAGCCAGCTGGACAAGCCTGCACGCATACCGACACTTGTTTACATCGCGAACGGTTGTTGCGGATGCGCCCTGTATGTATGTACGTGCGTGTAGAGGAATCCGGGGCCAGTTAGGTTTGGTAAGCCGGTGGTGGTGTGCCAGGGATATCTATCTTTGGCTCCACGCACGAAGTGCGCGCGCGCACACCGGCCATCTCTTGCTCAATCGTCTCACGCCCGTGTCGGTGACCAGTGACACCGTTAAACGCGACCATTATTTCGAATGCGCCCCGCGGGTAGGATATTTCCGTGGTGACCGTAGATAGAGCCGATGGATCGCGCCGTTAACGACGAAACGCACTCCCGCCGTGGAACGTATTACACGTATCCCCAGTGTTGTGCTATCTTTCAGCCGCAGTGAAATGCACGCGTCAGTGATCCTCAACTTTCGCCGCTCGTGGCTAGTTTGATCGTGATTGTTGGTCGCAATGGAGTGATTAGGACGACGTTGGAAGGGTGAGCGTTGTTTGACGACTACGGCCGCGATATCAGAGCTACGAGGATTTGTAAAGGGGCAATTTTGATAGAGTTGCATGAAGTCTGAATAGGAAAAGATCGGAATATATTTGGCAGGTAACATAAAATTACCGAAAATATAGTAAAATATAGTATCATAAAAGTCCGAAGATATAGTTTGATGAGGTTGCATGAAGTCTGAATAGGGAAAGATTGAAATATATTTGGCAAGTAACATAAAATTACCGAAAATATAGTAAAATAGAGTATCATAAAAGTCCGAAGATATAATTTGATGGGGTTGCATGAAGTCTGAATAGGAAAAGATCGGAATATATTTGGCATGTAACATAAAATTACCGCAGATATAGTAAAATATAGTAACATAAAAACCCGAAGATACAGTTTGGTGGGGTTGCATGAAGTCTGAATAGGGAAAGATCGGAATATATTTGGCAAGTAACATAAAATTACCGAAGATATAGTAAAATATAGTATCATAAAAACCCGAAGATATAGTTTGATGGGGTTGCATGAAGTCTGAATAGGGAAAGATCGAAATATATTTGACATGTAACATAAAATTACCAAAAATGTAGTAAAACCGAGTTGAGATTTTTAAAGATTTCGCTGTATACGGCTTTGATTCTAGGTAATAAAATACGCCAGATGCATATTCGATTAATTATTGATTAACCTTCCTTTTCCTGCTAAATAAATTCGATAGTGAAATTTCCAATGTAATCAAAAAACAGAAATTCGCTTCGATTTTCGACCCCTCTAAGCCACCTTGAAACGCTTGTACGTGATCTTTATTATTATAATTTCAGGATTCGTTGAAATTCTCAAAACAAGCGCAGAAATGGACAACACTTTGGAGGATAGCGACTAGTGGTGGAATGCAAGTATCTACTGACACACTGTCATGGCTGAAAAAAGGCTGATCGACCGGTGTCGAAGTGTCGAATCGCGAAATGGACGTTACGAGACTTGCACGATGCAAGATGTTTGCTAGAGCGAAGGTACACGACAGACACGGCGGAACGCACGGAAGCTTTAAAATTACCACTTACGCGTACTTACACTAACAGATAAATGCCGTCCGAGTATTTACCGATTCACGCTTCGGTAACCTTCGACGTCACTAAAAGTCAGCCATGTACGTTCGCTTACACGTTGCATGTATAAACAGGTAACGACGTGGAGAAGCCGACTTGCGTCAGAGTGGTAATATCGGTGCATTAATTATGGCGATTAAAGATTACGGACGATCGCCACGTGAATCAAGAAAAACGGCGATATACGAGAAAAAATACACGTGCTGTTACGTACGTGATGTTTAAAATTAATCGCAATTGCAATCGACGAAGATTAAGATGTATCTCCAACGGAGATCGCTGTTACACGTGTCACGTGTGTAACGCGTTCATTGTAAACAAGGATCGCATGATTTTCATTCATAGTTAAATATATATACTCTCGTTTGACGTTGAGGACAGTAAGAAGTTACCCCTTTTCTAAAACTCGAGAGTTTTCTACGTAGTAACTTCGGACATAGTAACAATTGCCGTACATGTGCATGTGCATCAAATAAGAATAAATACTGTTGAAAGGTTATCTATATTTAATCCTACCATCATCTCCCCTCTTCGTACTTTCCGCGGTCAGGCTTCTTCCTTAGGAAGCTACTCAAAGAAATACACGAACACTAAAAATTTTAGACGAATCTGTATTCTGTACGTCCAGTCTTTGACATTCGTCGTTGGATAAGAACAGGGTAATTCGATCGTTCTTCTGCTATCGCCGATTTACGAAGCAAATCGATTTTCCGGCCAAACTCGTGCGAAACAGACACGTAACTGCATATATTGCCGGGCGCAAAAATATCGGAACCGGACACTTCGGTTCTGACCAGATCCGGTTCATTTTTCCTCGCGGAGCGGAGCATGAACGCGCGCGCAGCAAAGTTTCCACGAAATGGAACCGCGGTCACGCCTGAGCTACCTAACGGAGGTAGAAAGATATTGCGCTAATGCGTTCCACGTGGGGTCACCGGTAGCTGGTGCACAGGCCAGCACTACCGTACTCACTTTGCGCATAAAACCGACCTCTCCCGCATCCACGCGCGCATACACACACGCGCGCGGGGAAAAAAGCCTCGGCTTTACGAACAGGCAGCCTAGCATACGCCAGTGCCTCTCATTACGAATCTAACCGCGCCCACGTAGCGGTATCGAGGCTACGTATATTTCTCTGCCACGCCTGACCGACCGTAATAGCGCTATCCCTCGTTTTATGGGGGTATTTATTGCGTTGCGTTCGCTACGCTTTTCTACGAATCTGCAAAAAACTGAGTTGCGGCTCTCGGCAGCCAAGAGAGTCCGTATACGCGTACGCGTACACGCGCGTGTGTGTGTGCGTGTGTGTACGCGCGTGCACGCAGGCGCGCGAGCGCTGCCACTTCGCGGATTCTATCTGGCCGTAACTTGAGAAAGGCGTGTCGAAAATCCACGGACTGGCATCGCACTCCGCGTATCGTGTGACTCCAATATCGGTCGGCGGATGCGCCACGAGGCGCAGGCATTTCCTTCTGTTAACCCATTCGTTAACCTGTTATTCGTTCGTTAGAAGTTATACCGTCCTCTCCTTCACCCCCCCCCCCTCTCTCTCTCTCTTCTGTCTTCCTACAATTCCCTTGGCCAGTTGCACGATCATACATCAGCTTCACTCTCGAATATTCTCGAATACGACAGCCGCGCGGAGAGAAAACAAACTCTATCGTGCGTGCAGTTGCGCTTTGCGGCGCGGCGTTCGTGTCCAGATAAATGGCAAAGTAACGCGTTTGCCCCTTCTAGCCCTGTGTGTATGCCTGTCCTGCGCGCCGGGACGGGGGGAGCCTGAATGTTCCTGCTCATGCGCGTTGCGTAAATAGGACAGCCACCGGTATAGTCCGCTCGTGAAACGGGGTCACGAAAATTAAATTTTCTAATTAACGGCACGCACGCACACACCCACCCGGTAACAGCCGGCTGTCACACCGGGCCGCGTGCTATTCGCGGTTCTCGCCTCTCTCTCTCTCTTTCTCTCTCTCTCGCACGTTTTCTTGGCCGATTTTGCCAAGCTGTCAAAGCATTTTGTCGTCTTCGACTCGTCGAATAAACACACGCACGACGTCTCGCTGCGATACGTCGAGCATGTCATCGATACCCGGTGGACATCGATGGCGTGTGTTATCGCGTGCCGTAAATGTGTTCTCTTCCTCGCTCTTTGAAAACACGCCGTGAAACGCCGCGTACGGCGGAACACAGGCTGGGTACGCGCATGCGCGCTCGCCAGGCGTTTGATGCGCGCTAACCTGTGCTCCGATGCAACCGAGACCCGGCGGCGGTACGGATGACGTATCAAACCTCGTTATGCCTAACATGCCTCGCCGACGCTTTGTTCGGTCTTTTTCTCTTTAAACGTATACGTACACGTATGTACGTAACGAGGCGATGCACGAACACTTCCGAGAACAGGAAAGAAACGTAGTCGTTACACCGATGCAAATAAAAAGCAATGTTTCGACCTATTCCTAATTCTCCCCCCACTTTCTTTGCGCCATTTCCTACTCCACTGGATTTATCGCGCGTTACGTGTGAAACTTAATGGCTGGCTTTTTAGAAATGTAAAAATATAAAAATTGGTTGTTTATTCGATCCGAAACGATCGGCACTGAAACAAAAGAAAAGTGAACAAACGACGCGATAGATTTGTCGTCGAAGACAGCAAGTACCACGTTTAAAAATAGCTGCGTCACATCCGCCGCTCGAGGGTTACCCCAATACGTGCTGCGAGAACTCTCCGGAACGCGCGCGAAATTAAACGTAAAATAAAAGAGAGAAAAAACAAGGGGGAGAGAGAAAAGTAGGAGAAGAAAACTCGCTCACCTCTTGGCCGGTCGGCGCAATTATCACGTCCACCTCGTCGAGATGCTCGCGGTGTTGCGTGACCTCTGCGTGAATTTCCCGTCCGTTGTACGTGAGATAGACCTTCTGGCCGGATACGAGGCGCGCGCTGGTGACGGAGCCGAAGCCAGGGCCGATCAGGTCGCGGTCAGAGTATTCGGTGCTGGGACTCGGCGGCCGACCGCCGGGCACAGAGTCGAAACGCACGGAGTAGCGAGTCTTCGGTGTAATGCTGAGGCCTGACTCGGACGCGGCTGACGCCGGCGTTTTTACGGCGTGAATGACGCCACTGTAGTACTTCCCGTCCTCACCGGGAGCACACACTCGGGTGCCGATAATACTACGTTTTGCCAGCCTCTTGCCCGTCGACATTATTCGTGGTTGTCTAAGAGTTGAACAATCTCTCGGCGGCTCTCGATTTCGATCGTATCGATTCGAACGTTCGACAAAAAGATTCACACGCACTCGATGATACCGTTTCACAGCGAAACACCGTCTACCGGATCGTTTTCGAAGGTGTCTCGCGCAAGTTCGTCTCTCGTGTAGATCATCTGCGCAAACGATCGAGACCTCACTCTTCGATCACAGAGATTCACGTTGAAAAGCATACGCGTTACGCAGCGAACGAACCGGAAGTGAAAGAGAAGGTAGCTTCGCGCGCGACCTTTTAGGCAGTTCGACGCTTTTTCCGTAGAGAGGCGATCAGAGACGCGATTCTGTATCACGGAATCGATCAAATATTTGAAGGAAAAAAAAAAGAACACTCGCAGGGAACACTGGTTTTTCTTTTTTTTACACGCTCGTCGTGCGTAAATTCTTCGATTCTCTTCTTCTTACTTGGCCGAAGCTTCGCACTGTAACAGTACTGTCGCTCTAAGTCATTGTTTCGCGACGAATCGCGTACACGCCGGTGGATAAATCGGGCAGTTTTGCGCGAAATCGCAGTCGGCGAGTGGCAAGCGCGATCCTAAACCGAGGAAGGACGCGGTGGCCTTCGCGGCCTGAACACAGAACTCAACGTATCAACAAAACAGCGTGCACTGTTGCCTGCATTCGTCACGCCGTCCGCATGTTCGAGGCACTTCGTGATTGATTTGTGATAATACGTTGACGTGCACGCGGTAGATAGCATAATATATGACTGACGCTTGCCGGTGAGTAGAAATCCGACGCTACACGGTGACCTGAACGAACAAGCGGTACACGATACGATGGTTTACGGGCAGGAGTAGGACTCGCGGTACCCGACATGTGACGCACAGCTGAGATACCGAGAGGGACTGAGGACAGACTACCAAGCGGCTTTCACTGCGCCGGCCGGCCGCCCGCCCGCCCGGGAAAAACAGCTGATAGATAACAACAAACCCACGTGACCCGGCCTCGAGCACCGATTGGACGCGCGCGCTGACCTACTTACTCCTATTGGCCGTCCGCCCGGACAACCAGAAGAACGGGAAAAAATCGCAGACTAGAACCTTAGCCAAAGCACTCAGCTTGTCAAGACCTTCCACTTTCTCAGCCCTCTCCTCTTTTCGTACGACTGTACTCGGCGTCCCTTCTGGCGTCCCTGTTTTCCCACCGCGCGCAAAATACATCGGTCATGTACGATTCCGTGCGAAATTCAGCACGCCATTGACTCACTCTGTCGTACCGACGTCGAGATACTTGACAGAGTATCGACAACAGTCGAGTTTCCATGACTTTCATGAACGATAGTTTTGTAATCAGCTGGCAGTTAAATACACAAAGCGGTCATTTTGTCATCAGCTGAGAACGCCTGTAACGAAATCCAAGCGAGTGTTCGGTCTGTCGATGTGCGCAGAACTCGCCAAAGAGCTTCGCTCCGTAAGACATTCCCACTGCCGCTCGTATGCCATACTGCAACATTTTTTTCATGAAATACCACGAGTTCCGTCCAAATTCTTACTTTCCGGGAAAGCGTCGCCTGTACGAAAAGAAAGTCTGCGCGCCTTGTCGCAGCGGAAGTCGTTTTAGCAGAGAAAAATCGTGTTTATGGTTCAGCTGTCAGTAGAAGGCGGCCATTTTACGTCAGCTGAGAAGGTCGGTGACGACACACGCCGAGTGAAATATCTTTCGCGTGGTGGTCGGAGCTTCGGAGAATTGTGTGTATCCGAGAGAACCTTAACTTACAAAACTACTTTCGAAGCCTTGCTGCATCGTCCATCAACAATTTATTTAAACAATTTGTCTATCACATATACAAAATTCAACAAAAACATACGAGTTGAAATTGGATGAAAATTGTTCGAAATTTTACATTTGCTGCTTTCTCTACGTGATATTCTTCCCTGACGATGAAAAATCACCGTGCATTCAACGTTCGATCGTAACAATGTCAAATTGGCAATTTCGTGTCAGCTGAGGGCGCCAGTGACGAAATACGACGGAGTGGATAGTCTGCGACAGCTACGATGCACGCATCCATGTACTCTCCTAGTTGTCCGACGTGTATAACAACTCTCGGAAACCGGCAGACGACCGTCATGTTTTGTGTGTTCCTAGTGAAACTTCGAAATTTCGTTTTTTGCCAACTTGATTCTTGTTAAAAACAGACTGTGTGGCTGTATCGATAAATCGATCGAATCCGGCTTGGTCGGTAAGGTGAGGCAGTTGCAATGCCATACGGTATGTGCTTGTCATGGCGGCGTGGAGGACGAGCAATGAAAATGGCCGGAAGATGCAAGGGGGCAGTGGGGAGGGATGGTAAGGCCGAATAGAAGGCAGCGGTCCACACACGTTCTCAGCAGCCTATCCTAGATTTATTTCCGTGGACGTTGCGCAATAAACGCTTCGCTGTTAGCTCACTGAATGCTACCCCTCGTTTGGCTCCGAAGAGATGCCAAGGGCTAGTGAGTATAACATTAATTTAATTGTCACCGGTTCCCGTTTTTTTCGTCGTGTAAAACGGCTTGATTACGCCCGTTGTGTACATGCGTTGTAACGTTACTTCTTTCTGCCGGTTTAATGGAGACTTAGTCATCTTTGTGTCATATTAATGAGCTTGTTTAACGCTGTCCACGTTTCGGTGTTCGCATGGAAACACTTTCCACACGATGAATTTCGAAACGAAGTACACTCGCTTCTTACGGCGCGCGGAATTTTTACGAAAGATTTTCATCAGTTTTGAAGTATAATCAGTTGAACGAAGAATCGAGGAAGTAGAAGATCGTGCGGTTTACAACGCACTTTCACTGTACCGACCGTGGAAAAGCTACGAGGAAAAGTAAATCACGATTTAATTGTGTTTGAAAGCAACCGTGTTTCGAAGCAACGGAGTTTCGGTTTTGTAACAATGAAAATCTTATTTATATATTTTCAATAATCTATAACTGTTATCTATATCTGTTAAACTATATATCTAAATGTATATATGTATCTATGTATATATGTAAATACATCAATGTGTACGTAAATATATATTAGACTTACGTTCTTATTAAGACAAAATTATTCTATCTTAATGCCTTATTTAAATACACGTATAAATTGCATACGTTTCAACGGAGAAGCGTGCAACGATGTAGATAAAAAGAATTTGCATTTTAATTGCTGAATTAACTGTGTCGCGAATATCAATTTGAAGAAATTCATTGAAATTATCTTGGTGAAAAGAATGCAAGTACATTGTTTCTTCTCCTAATTCTAAGAAAGTTCTCAACAAGAAAAATATCAATATTCCTCTTTATGTAAAACCAACACTTATCACAAAATTCACAAAAATTCGTCACGTTTTAAAAGCAACTTCTAAAAATAAAATTCGCTTCTAATACCTATTTTCTATTGACACTCGCCAAGTTTACCACGGTCATCGGTTTTGGTTTGCGGTTATGTTATTTTTTGAAGAGTTACTATCCGTGTTTATACCTATGAAAGTATCATCTTAAATTATTTCACATAAAATGATAAATAACGTATGACAAACAATATCTAACTTTCAATCGTAGGTTTTTTATTCAATTGTTCAAAAATAGAATTCCTCCATTGAAATTTCTAGGAATGTTGCAATTGAAAAATTGTTTGAGCTGAGAAATTTGAGATTTCTGGTGATTCTATGATCACAATCCTAATCTGTTGTATCGTATTATCTCATATCTTTCCTCGTACTGAGAAAACACATTGTTCCTGCCTTGAGGAATTTAATGAAACTGGCAAGAAAACCATCGAGTCTTTACACGATGACGTATCACGATTGTTAACACGTCTGTGCGATATCCACACAGTCATGCTTCGAGATAAGATTACGTTAGCGAAGCATGAAAACGCAGCAATCTGTATCAGAAGTGAATTTGTCATACGTTCGAAAATCGTTAGCCACGATAACCGGTTTTTACGGATCCTTGTGAAGTTCGTCGCCGAGGTTCAGTACCATGATCAATGGTACTGTCGTTTATTTCGCCATTTCACTCGCCTCGATGTTGTTCTCTTTCGGAATCGCGGCTTCAGCGCAACAATGCTCCTCGTTCTGCGTGTGCGACACTTGGTACGATTTGGAACGCGCTTCTTGCGTGGGCCGCCATCTTTACAACATACATACAGGTGCGCCGGACAATGTACAGGCACTGGACTTATCGGATAACGTGATATCAGTTTTAACCAGTTTCGAGTTAGCGGTATGTTCGGCAATTTACAAAATTACTTTCATTTTTATTCCGTAATCGTATTACCTGCATCGTTGACCAGGGATAAAATAAACTTGACATTCAATGCTTTTTCGTGTCGCATGGTGGGGGGATTCGCCTCCCACTCTTATTTCCATGTTACACACGACCTTTTTGATTCAGTACAACAGCTATGGTTTGAATTAAAAATAAATTTTCCTGCGAAACCATAAACGAGATGTAGAAGATACAGATGTCACACAATCGTAACTGAAGCGTGGTGTTCCATAAAATACTGTGAGAGCCATAATTACGGATTATAATACACTGCAGTGACAGCGTAATAATTTTCTTAATTATCAATTGAGCGAATATAATCTTCTCCCACTTTTGTTCAAGAATCTTCAAGTTTGTTAAATAATAATTTTTTAAAGAAGTTACTTTTACTAAAAATAATGCATAAATTTTTATCTCGCAATTTTCTTGATCAGAAATTTAAAATTAATTGTAACTTCAATCAGCGATTATAAGTGATTAAATACACAGAGATACAGAAAATTGGAATACCAATTAGAGAGATACATCTACGAAAGGTCAATCCTGTTAATTAGTCTTTTTCGCAAATGAAAATTGGACTCATTTATAGACGTCATTCAAATACTAATTGAACGCGTGCTTCGATCTATTAAGCGGAATTTGTAAATCTTTAGTCATCACTCTTTCTAGATGAAATAAAGTTTAAATAAATAGCTGAGGGTTTAATTCTCTTGATACTATTGCGGAAATTTATAAATTAATATCCTTAATTAGTTTTTTTTGCAAATAAATATTTGATCAATTTATGGATATTAAAATGCTAGCGTCGCGTAGCGGTGAAATAGTGGAACTAAAAACTATTGCTGTCCTTGTCGTACGTTGTTGCTTTCTTCGTTTATGAATTTATGAGGAAAGAGATACGTGCTGCCATCTGTCAGTGTTTCAATTTTAGTTCCAATCGGAATATGAGAAATGGCAGCACTGGCTGTAGACATGTAGCGACCTCTACTTCGAAGAATTTAGATCAACGACATCTATGTTCCGTCGAGATGTGTATTTAATATAAACAATAGAATATTTAAAAATAGCCATTAATTTTATTATCACCAT